ACTAAAAAAAAAAAAAAAATCTACCTGAAAATGTGCCCACGCCAGAGAAACAGATGTGTTTCAACAGTAGGACCAGTCCCGCTTGGTGCCCTCACCTTCCGAATGCTTGATTCCTGACAAGCATCTGAGGCGTTTTCCCACGGTATGCTGGCAAACCAGGATGACATACTATGTACGAGGTTTTAAGAAGTTGGTGGACAATGGAATTGGAAGGTAAAAGGGTTTCCCACAAACATTTTGAAGCCTCTTCGTATATGCTAAGTGGAAAAACGTGACGGGGACTGTAATAAGCTTTCAGAACATCCATCGATGCGTCGTGTGCACCGAAGGAACCTCTCCTTTTACAAATCACCTCTAGCGGCTTCCTTTGGCCCCACTGCAGGCGAACACGTGTCAAAGCGTCCGGTTTGCTTGCTGCCCAGGACCAGACACCCTGACTGCCACAGGCTCAGGCCCAACGGGCCCAACTGCGGGACCCTCTTCACAAAGGCCCCAGGTCATCAGGGGTCTTTTCTGAAGCTCTGCTTCTGAGGCTAAGGGGACTGCTACCATGCCTGTTTATTAACTGCCAATCACAGTGTGTGGGCAGGGGCCCGGTCCACTTTGTTCTTCGCTGTATTCCTGGCACTTAGCGCCAGGGCCTGGCCCGTCATCGTCACTGGGTCAGCAAACAGCTTTTTCATTCCACTGAGCTAGCGCAGGGCGCGACTCCCCACCTACCTCAAAGTCATCGCGCAGGCTGCAGTGGAGCAGGGGCGCTCTGGAGCAGACGCTGTAGGCGACCACGGCCATGAGGAGGAAGGCAGGGTGGTTGGAAAAGACGTTGTCGAACAGCCTCAGCCACTCCTCCCTGGTCAGCACCTCGGAGAAGACTGTTTCCAGCAGGGGCCAGGCGTACAGCTAAAAGAAACCCAGACGCGCACAGGGTTTCCTGGGGAGCATCATGAGGGAGCCACGCTGGCTAACACACGCACACGTGAGCCTGGTCTGGGCACTGCAAGCCACATGAAAAAATATCATGGCGAAAAAAACTACCTGGATTTGACTTTTGATCACCGAAAGACACTTAGGGAAGCGGTTTAATGAAGAAAAAGAAGGCAATCCTCTAAAAGAGTTTTAAAACGTAATGCGTCCTCTATTAAACATTTTCAAGAAAATGCTGTTTCACCTACACCAGCACCAGTGTTTACTTCTAAAATAAGTGGGTGATTACGAAGACCTGGTACTTCATACCTGGGCAGTGACGTCATGAGCCAGGAAATGCTGCAGCAGCTCCTTATCACGGAAGGCCAGCACGTTTTCGATCATACTGAGGATATTGACCGGTGGATTGGGGAAATATTCGAACCAGTGTTGGCACCAGTTCACTAGAAAGGAAAGGGAAACGTGCTCTTTACATGGGCTTCTCGACAAAGGACTTTCGTATTCTTACATGTACCCATTCTACGTCTTCAACATGTTCACGGACACAGAGAAGCTCACATGACGAAATCAAAAGGCAACAGATTTCCTAAAAAGCTACCAATCCTTGGTATGTAGAAATTTTGCAATTTTCTTTGATGTCGAATGAGCAGCCATCCGAAGGCATAATTAGTGGTCTGTCCCTTTCTGGAACAAAGACGAGCAGAGAGTACAGAAAGTCAAATCTGCAAGGCCACATTAGTCCAAAGGGTTGATTAACGGACCTTTCAAATCCCAGTCTCTACAACCCTGAGGCCAGAAGAACTAGACGGTGCCCGGCTCCCAGTTCTGAGTGTGCTGAGAGGGGTCACATTAGAAGGGCGTGGATAGTGTTGGGGAAGATGTGGAACAAAACCCAAAGTCATAAAAAAGACCATGCTTACATGGAACCTTCTGGAATCTCCTCGCTCCTGTGATAGAGACTGGTAGAACCCTTGATTTGATGGCCCTTAGACACCCTGTACGCCAGAGAGGCAGCTACAAGGTAAACTCCACCCCCAGGGAAGTGCAGGCTCCTCAGCATTGAACCACAGGAGACCAAGAAGGCAGCATTGCCTAGGGGTAACACTCACTCTTTCTTCCCTGCGCATCAGAAAGATGGCTGTGTTTTTTTTCCTCTAGTGCTTGTTTATTTTCTAATGTTCTTAGTGAGCCCACGTTGTTTTATGGCCAGAAAAGTTGAAAATGTAACTTACCCCCAAGAGAAAAAGAAATTACTGTATGTCTTGCATGACAAGTTTTACGAGGGTTGAGAAGGCAGGAAGGGAGGGGCAGAAGGAAGAATGGAAGCAGGAAACACGGGGGCAAGTGGGAAGGTGCTGCTTGGGGACTGCAGTCCATGCCACGAAATACAAGGTGTAAGAACGCATTGTTGAGTGGGAGGCCAATCTGCCCTGTAAACAAAGCCTTTCAACCCAATCACAATAAAAACATTTGGAAAAAAAAAAAAAAACAGGTTCAAAATAAATAAAGAAAAGAAAAACAGGTCCTCCCATAGTCCTCATCCTAGTCCTGGAATGTCCTGGATCCTCCTCGTTCCTGTGCTGTATCTCTTTACATGTTCCTGGCTAACAAAACAATGCCTTGAAAACAAGTTCCTATTTAAGTCTCATTCCATGATCAATGTTAACATGCTAATTTGAACAACCTGTATTAAGCGTCATAACTACTTCAAAATGAGGGCAGTGTGGAGGCATGTTCAGCATGACAATTACGTGTTAGCAGCTATCCATCACCAAGAAACGGTATCAGGGGTCTGTTTTCAGATGAGACAAACAAGTAACCACCAGAATGTCGTCATGTCTGTCACTGACGACTGGTCTCGGAGAAGCTGGCTTTGGAAAGCGACCACTCCAGGGCATGGGCGTCCTTGCCCGGCCGAGGTGCTCCGCTCAGTGGCCGGGCTCCCGGGCTCCCGGGCTCTGTGAGCAGGCCCGCGCAGCCCCTCGCAGAGCAGCAGTCTGCCCATTCCCAGCCCCGCCAGGAGCAGCACGGCTCTCCTGTCCCTGCGCTGCGCTTGGTTAGAAGAAAATGCCTCGCATCAGAGTGAGATTTTACTGGAAATCAAGAGTAGAGTTGTGCACGACTCTTGAAATGAAATACAATGTTCCCTTTTCTTTTAAATAATTTAAGGTCTAATTAGTGCTTCTGCCTGGATAAGCTACTACGACCCTTTTGGGGAATGAACTAGGATATTTGTATTTTATGACCTAATTATTCCAGTCCTGAGAATCTACCCATATGGAGTATAAATATTAATATAGGAAGGTGCTTGTGACATTGTGACTTTTCATAAGTAATAATTAGGAACCAACCAAAATGTCCAGCAAGAAGAGGTGAAACATGTAGACACCCTACAGACGGTCACACCAGCGATAAAAACATTGATAAAGAGGATAAAGATAAGGGAAGGTACCAACCGAATCGAACCCATCATCTCTGAGTCAATTCTGACTCACAGCAACCCTCTGCCGGGTTTTCGAGGCTGCGAATCTTTAAGGGAGCAGCCAGCCTCGTTTCCCTTGTGGTGGATTTGAACCACTGACCTTGTGGTCAGCAGGCCCATGCTGACCCCGCAGCCCCTTATTATATGATACAGGCAACACGCTATGCTTCTCTCAAGGTGGTTCAATAACTTGGGACAAAGCTCATAAGAAAGTCATCAGTAGATTATCTCTGAGGAAAAAGATCGGAGAATTGTTTTTCTCTTGTATGCTTTCCTAATGTTCTCCAGTGATCCGTAAAAACTTATCAAAATAATTACAATGTGTTTTGCTAAAAATTGTAAAAGTGCATAAAAACCCAAATAAAACTCACTGCCATCAAGTCAGTACTGACTCACGGCAACCCTACAGGACAAGGTAGCACTGGCCCTGTGAATTTCTCAGACCGTAACTGTTTACAGGAGTAGAATGCTCCGTCTTTCTCCCTCAGAGCCGCTGGTGGTTTTGAACTGCTGACCTTGCTGATGGCAGACCAATGTGTAACCACTATGCTCCCAGGGCTCCTAACGGTGCACGGGACAACAGGGAGACAGACATACAGGGACCCACTCCCGGCTCCCCGCATTACTTCCCTCTACTTACTTATGAGGGTAGCAACGACTTCAAAGCAGATGAGTTGATTGTTCTGGAATAACTTCACAAACGGAAATGCCAGGAGCGGGAGATACGGCGTGTCAGTGAAGATGGTGGACCAGTTAGCTAACGCAGACAGAGTTCTGTGAGTGACAAGAAAATCACGGCAGAAAACGCTTCATTGTTAAAACGCAGGGGCAGAGACTGAGCAGCCGCAGGCGGAGGCACCTGACACAGAAGGCTTTTCTGCTGACCGCTGTATCTTGCACGTTCAGTCTCGTTTACTTCCATAGAAGCGACCAGTTACAAGCATGCATCCTTTTTAAACCCTCACCAATGGTGGCAGCAGGGGCAGTGAATGAGTGTGGCCCTTCTAGACAAAGTCCCTAACCTTTCCCTGCCTGGGTCTAACCGGGAAGGTGGGGGAGGATACGGATGCGATTCACCTGTGAGTCTGTGAACAGGATTCCCTGGAGTGGCATCCTGCCGTGTATACAATGTGCCCTCTGAGGAGCAAGAGGGGGGAGCTCATTAGCAGCAAGAGCCAGGAGTGGAGCCCGTCCTCTGTGCAACAAGGTCCCTGTCTGTGCGGGGAACCTTCCGGATCCAGATGAGAGCTGCCTCGTCAGAGAGCAGCAGCAGAACAAAGAAACAGAGCATGACGGGACCGAGGGATGGACCTCCCCAGCCCACGGAGCCAGTGAAGCCAGTGTTGTTGTTCAGGGAGCTGGCTTCTGGAATGGGGGGCTCTGGGCACGTCACTGGCGAAGCTGGACTTGCTGACCCATGGAAATGGAGCTGAGTGCCTCTGGGCTGAGGCTCACTAGAGCGGGCACTTACTTCAGGGAGCTGGGTTTGCCAACCCACCGAGGACCCTGGGGTTGAGGCGTACAGCAGATGGTACGCCCTGTGGGCATTTGCTAGCCAGCTTCACCGAACTTTGTAACAAGTCCCGGTAAGCAACAACACCCTGAGCATTTCAACTTGTTCACTTCCTTCAAGAACCCTTTTGGGGAGATGAGAAGCCAAAGAAGTAAAAAGAGCACGGTGATTGAGTCTGTGTAGTGGTATACCTCCACCACTCTTCTGCAGCTTGCATTTTTCAATTAACGTTGTATCTTAGGAAGATTTCCTATCATCACAGAACATAGAACCTTGCCCTGATTGTCAACAGAAGCATGAGATAGTTCTGTACAGACACATCTTAATTTCTTTGTCACCTGACTTCCTCTGTGGGGTACTAGGGCTGTTTGCAACCATTTGCAAACAACACTGCATTCAATGCCACTGGATGCCCAGGATTCTGTATTTGGGCTGCCTGCTTTGGATAAAATCCCAGGATCAGAATTAAATCGCCGAATTAAAGCCTTTGTGTGCATTTGTAACTGCAATAGCCAGAGCTGATTTTTTTTCCCCCTTGACAAAACAGTGCTCAGAAAAAAAAGATGCTTGCTCTGGTTGGAGAGCCTCAAAAAACTCCCACCAAGTGTAAGGAGTGCACCTGAATGAACCCTGAACAAGCTAATCACTAAAAAAAGATAAGATCCTCAGGGTAACAGGATGCTGAGTAGATATAAACTCGGTAAGAATTCTTAATTCTTTTTTTTAGGCGTGTGTGTGTGTGTGTGGTGATGATGGCAGTGTGTCTTCAGCCTTCAGAGCCACATGTGGGACCAGAGAGCAGAGGCTTTCTAGGGACCTTCCAGGGCCCTGGTGGTGACGCGGTTGCCCTTGGGGCTGCTCACTGTGAGCTGAGCACATGGAAACCACGGAACTTTCCACTCCTGTAAGAGACAGTCTGGGGAACCCACAGGAACTGCTTCACCCTGCCTCACCCGCCCTGCTGTCTCAGAACTGGCTCGATGGCAGTGAGCTTGGGCTTGGCTTCCGGTCGGTATTGGATGCCAGTACAAACATTCTAAAGCAGATCCCAAAGTTCACTTCCCCGAGGGTCTGATGATGCTGTGTTATTGCCTCTGTTTCCAGATAAAGAAGCTAAGGCCCAGACAAGTAAAGTGACGTCCCGACACAGAAGTTTCAAAGTGGGGGGACAACTCCGGGATTCAAAGGACTAGGCCTGACTTCTAGTCACAGGTCTTTCCATACACCTCTCTGCTTCTCAGACTGTGGGAAAGATTCCCATTTTCCAGGATGTGACAGACGGTGACATCAAGAAAATGCGACAAGTTTTGCTTCCTCAACTATACAAACCAACACACTACATGGATGACCGGAGAGGACCGGCTGACTGACAGTTTATGAACTGAGGCTGTGAGGACGCTGCAGTTCTGGATTTCACCGACAGGCGGCGCTGTGCGGAACACACCTCTGCAATACTCGCAGCAGCTTCCGGCTCTTGATGGGGTATTTCTTCTGCAGGTTGAGAAAGGCCACATGCACACCCTTATCCACCAGGCTACTGAAGGCCGTGTGGTTCTCAGGCAGTTGGAGGAGGGAGCGCCAAATGAACATTCTGAAAGTGAAACATAATCTTAGCCAAAAAACAACCAGAAAAACACAAATAAAACTTTTTTAGTAAACTTGATTTAACAAAACACAACTGGAATCTCACCTGTATTTTGTTGGGTATTCACCATAGCCTTTTAACAAGATTTGCAGGCGCTTTCTGTTTAACCCATCTGGCAATTCATTCTGTGAAGACGAAGGGCGCACCATTAGGTACCAAACCCCAAACCCCACGCACTGCCATCGGGTCCCTGTAGGCCAGCAGGGTAGAATGGCCCTAGGGGTTTCTGAGACTACGACTCTTTTCAGGAGTAGAAAGCCTTGTCTTTCTCCCATGGAGCGGCGGGTGGTTTCGAACTGCTGACTCTGTGGTTAGTAGTCCAACGAGTAACCACAACACCATCAGGGCTCCTTATCATTAAGTAACATGACCTTAAATCTGAACACATGAAAGCAGTGCTCCAACTTTAGAACTCAAGAGGCATGCTCATGCCAAGGGGCCCACATGTGCTCACAACGTGAAACTCCCATGCACATGCGGCCATGCACACATTCCGGAGGGTGCCTCTTCACAGCAGACACAATTTCATGATACATTACTTACCCTACTAGGCCTGAGGAGCCCTGGTGGCATAGTGGTTACTCGTTAGCCTGCTAACCGCAAGGACAGCAGATCAAAACCACTTAGCCCTGCATAGGAGAAAGATGGGGCTTTCTATCCCCATAAAGGGCTACAGTCTCAGAAACTCACAGAGGCAGTTCCATCCTGTCTATAGGGTTGCTGTGAGTGGTCATCAACTTGACAGCAGTGAATGGAGTTTGAGAACAGGGTTTATAAAGGCCGGATACAAAGTATTTCAAGTTTTGTCTGCCAGGAGGCAACATCACGGATATTATATACACTCTTATGTTAGCACTTAAAAAGGTCAAGGCCACTCTCAGCTGGTGTGTGGTTGAGACAAGCCCTCTGTGCTCCTCCCTCTGCCTTCCCCTGAGAGCCAGGTCAGTTATAGCTCTCCTCCCCAGACAGGGCTAAGATTCTTCCTCGAGGGGCGGGCGAGGTTCAGTAGCCCAAGAAGAACCCCAGACTTCAGACATGACATGCAGGGTTTCCCAAAGGACTCAACAGTGAGGTGCAAAGCGGTTACAGCCCATTCATCCTCAGAACTTCGAACCAGCTCTTCTCAACCACTGGCGAACAGGGAGAGTCTCCACAGCAAACTGGAGAAACAACTGGGGGAACAGAGATATCCTGCTGAATGAAGTATCCACGGCCCGACAGTGTGAAACGAGGGAAACAAGGGAAGGATCATCCGCCAGAAAGAAGGCACAGCCACAACTTTACAAGGTCTTAAAACGGAAAGCCAGGAGAGTAGAAACAAAAGAACATTAATACAATCTCCCAAAAGGGAGGGTGCCATGACTGAGGGCGGGAGGAAACTAATGGAATGACTCTAGAAAAGTCCCTCAGACCTGACGAACATGCCTTCCCCAGTTGTGTGGATGACAGTGGGCTCCTACCAAAGCAGGGAGGTCATTGTGACGTTCCAGAACCCTGGAGGTCTGAGCAGCAGAGGACTGAAATGATTTCAGGCCTGCTTCCTCGACAGTCACGCTGAAAACAAACTACAATGGAGCAATACCTTCAAAGTTCTGACGAAACTGCTGCTAACCTAGAATTTACCCCCCAGACTATTATTAAAGTATAATGGGTCGTATGCAAAGTTTAAAAGAAAAAAATTACCTTGCACCTCTTTCTCAAGAGCTGCTAGAAAATGGGTGCACAAACAAATGTGGTGAAGAAAGCTGATGGTGCCCAGCTATCAAAAGATATAGTGCCTGGGGTCTTAAAGACTTGAAGATAAACAAGCGGCCATCTAGCTGAGAAGCAACAAAGCCCACACCAGCCTGCATGATCAGGAGGTGTTGATAAGATCAGGTACCAGGTATCAAAGACCCAGGACAAAAATTCATATCAATGTGAATGGGGGGGCAGGCGGAGTGGAGATCCAAAGCCCACCTATAGACAATTGGACATCCCCTTACAGAAGGGTCACAAGGAAGAGACAAGCTAGCCAGGGTGCAGTATAGCACTGATGAAACATACAACTTTCCTCTAGTTCATTAATGCTCCACCCCTTCCCCCCCTCCACTCTCGTGACCCCAATTCTACCTTAGAAATCTGGCTAGACCAGAGCTTGTACACTGGTACAGATAAGAGCTGGAAACACAGGGAATTCAGGACAGATAAACCCCTCAGGATCAGTAATGAGAGTAGCAATACCAGGAGGGTCAGGGTAAGGTGGAGGGAGGAAGGGGGAACCAATCACAATGATCGACATTTAACCCCCTCCCAGAGGAACGAACAACAGAAAAGTGGGTGAAGGGAAACAGCGGTTGGTGTAAGACACGAAAAAAGTAGTAATTTATAAATTATCAGGGGTTCATGAGGGAGGGGCTGTGGGAAGGGGGGAAAATGAGCTGAAACCAAGGGCTCGAATAGAAAGAAAATGTTTTGAAAATGACGATGGCAACATATGTACAAAGGTGCTTGACACGATGGATGGATGGATGGTGACAAGAGCTGTAGGAGCCTCCAATAAAATGATTAAAAAAGAAAAAGAGCTGCTAGAGAATGTGTTCCCTCAAAATGAACGTGTAAATCCAGAAAGATGTCGCTTGAGTGAATTAATTCCCCAGAGGGGGAGGAGCTACGGCGGCATTCAGAGCCCGGCACATGTCGACGGCGGGGGGTGACAGCCAGAAAGCTAACGGCGACGCAGTCTCACCTCTGTCCCCTCCACCTTGCCAGCCAGGTCTTGGGTCACTGCTCTCGCCACCGCGTGTGCTTTGCCTTCCCTCGCTCTCGCTGGCCGCTGCACCCTTCCCGACGTGACCTTCACCTTCAGCTCACCGGCGCTGCCCTGGCTCTTGGGCAGACCTTCAATCACTTTCACTAGAGGAGGTGGCGGCTAAAAGAGGGACACACACGAAGAAGTGGTTATCCCGAGGGAAAAGGCCAGCGAATGCGTGGCTTGGACAGACCTGCTTTGACTCCTTTAGCAACACGTGGTAATATCTGCTGCCCTGGGGACGGCTCTGCGTCGGGCTGCCACAGGCAGGCCCCGCCCTTGGAAACCCCGCTGCTCCGTGGGAGAAGGGCAGGCTTCCACCCGGAGACCCACAGGGGCAGTTCTACCCTGTCCTACAGGGTCGCTGTGAGTCAGTGTTGACGAGATGCCCGCGGGTTTGGAATATCCACTGTTACTGGGCAAGCAGAATGCCTGCCTACAGCCCTGCCTTGCTGATTAACAGGTCGGAGCACATGACTGCCACATGATCTTCGGAGAAAGAATCCCGATGAAATTAAACAGCCAGAATGATCGCGCACATTTGTTAGCGCTGCTCTCCCATGAGAGGACGCCAAACCCGTGCCCACCCTCGCGCGGCTGCGTTAGCCATGATGGGTTGTGGAGGAGAGGCCACTCGGCCCTCTAGCAGCTCAGAGAAGCACCCCAATAGGCTTCACGCTCAGCTGACAGTTCCCTCAGAAAACAGACTCTCAGCTGACTTCCCTCCTTGGAAGCAAACAGCTGACTTTGCTGAAGTCCTTCAATCCGAGTAGCCATGGCGCCCGCTGTCAGCCCATTTGTGTCCACAGTTTCAGAGATGGTTCAGAGAGCAGGACCCCAAACCCTCGTGCTTATGGGGCCCAGCAAGCAGAAAAGAAAACCGTCAACTGACTTAAAAAGGTGAAGGAATTTACGACACCCTTTGCTCCATGAATAAATGCTCTTTATATCATTCTTTGGTTCAAAGGAAATGACCAGAGGGTCATGGGGGCTTTATGAGTTCCAAGTGCACTTGAAGTCCCACAGGCTCATCTCTCTGATTCCATGCATTCTGACACATTTTCAGTTAAATTTCTATTCTAGTCCCTATCTTCCCTTGCTTGAGGCCATGCTCTACCACCAAGTGCAGTCTCTCAAAGGCTGGAGTTTGAGATCGGACCTGACTTGTCATACATACCCTTCTGAACGGCTATATTAACACAATACAAGAGTCTCTGGCAGGAATGACAGTAAGGATCTGAGTACAAAGAAAATGTTTTGAAAATGATGATGGTAACAAATGTACAAATGTGCTTGAAACAGTGGATGGTTGGATGGATTGTGATAAGAGCAATATGAGCCCCCAATAAATGATTTAATAAATGAAGGGCTCCCCCTTTCTCCCCCTCCCCCTCCCCAAGCATCCCCCTCCCCTCATGATTATCACTATTCCCACTGCTGTTCCTGAGGGGTTTGTCAGTCCTGAGTTCCATGTGTCGAGAGCTCTTATCTGTACCGAGGTGTGTTCTCTGGTCAAGCTGGATTTGTGAGGATGAATAACTGAAATGTGGGTGAAGTGAGACAACAAATAGTATAGGATACAAAATACTAATAACAATATATAATTGATCAAGGATTCACGAGGGTGGAAGGGTGGTGGAAGGAGGGGGAAAAAGAGGAACTTATATCAAGGGATCGAGTAGAAAATATTTTAGAAATGATGATGGCAACATATGTACAAATATGCTTGATACAATTAATGTATGGAGTGTTATAAGAGCTGTAAGAGCCCCCAATAAAATGATTTAAAAAAAAAAGACACCGAAGGTGCTGGTAATGTGTCAACAATCAGAAACTCATTCTATTCTGAGTGTTTCTGGCCAACAAGGCAATATGATCTCAATCTGTCATAACATGATTGCCAAAGTAAACCTGAGCCATGCTTATCCCAAGGACCAGCAGACGGATGATGGGCCCTCAGTGAACCTTAGCGTCTACCCCAGAACAGTTAGCTCTGATCACAGGGCCCTGCTCAATACTCACCTTCATAAATGATCACTGAAGGCAAGGGTGCTACAGCAAAGGGTGGTGAAGAAAGCAGATGGTGCTGGCTATCAACCGGAATAGTGTCTGGGGTCTTAAAGGCTTGTATTCAAACAAGCTACCATCTAAGCGAGGAGTCAACTAAGTCCACATGGAAGAAGCACACCAGCGTGTGTGGTCCAAAGACGACAATAATAAAATTCAAAAATGACAAAGAGAAGAGTATCAAGCCTAAATTGTGAACACCCAATGTGCACAAAGCTAAGGAGGGCAGTGGGAGCCCAAAACCCATCCATAGAGCATCTAGCCTGAGTAAGCGCTGACAAGATCCCCACGAGACACTTCTAGGCACGAGTATTTCTTGCTTGTGACAAAAATGCCTTCCCTGGCCTTTTAAATATTCACGGTGGCCTTTTCTTTCTTACCTACTATTTGTATTTTTAGTTGTTATTATTATTATTTTATCCTGACTACTTTATTTTTTCCTGTGTTTTACTATTTCTGTTGGGTTTTCCAGTTTGAGAAACACAGGAGAAGAGGCACAGAGGTACGAGCCGATGCAAGCGTGAGAGGGGAGAGAGGGGCGAGGGTGGGAGAAGGGGAGGGGGTGGGGGAGCAGTCTTTAGAACTGATGGTGATGTAACCACGGGAGCGAAAATGTTCTAAAATAGGTGGTGGTAATGATTATACAACAAACTCTTACTACTGAACTGTGTGATCTGTGGATTAAGTGCCAACCCAACTGTTTATATAGAAAAAGGGAACCTGACCTCCGGTCGCCTCACAAACAGCAGAGCGTTTCAAGAACTCACTCTTACCTTAGTTCTTCTCAGCTCTCTCTCCCCGCTCCGAGTGAGATTTAGCAAGTTCTTGAAGAGGACAATTTTGGCAGGCTGAACACTCTTTTAGGCAAAAAAATTGTAAAAATGTATAGGAAGAGTATACATTTTTGTATACTTTCTTGGCTGAAAGTAGAGAATTCCAGAAAGAGTTTTACCTGTGTTCTCCTGACTAAGAAAGGCATTTGACAGTGTGAGAACACAAATTCTACATGACACTGCAAAGAAGGGAAAGTCTAGCACACGGAATTGTGCTCAGTGCGGAGCCTGTACGCAAACTAACAGGCAGTCGACTGAACAGGACAAAGGGCTGCCAGGAGGTTTAGAATCAGGAAGTCTGGGTGTCAGAAACGCATCCTTTCAACAAACGTCTTCGATCTGTTTGCTGAGACCCCAGAGTAAAGGAGAGGAGTATGGCATCAGGATTGGAGGAAGATCCACTAACGACCTCTGATCGCATGTGGCACGCCCCTGCTTGTGGAAAGGGAGGAGGACCTGGAGAACTCACTGAAGAAGTTCAAAGACTGCAGCCAAAGGATGGATGACACATCAGCACAGAGCAAACGACTCCTCACAGCAGGGGCCAAAAAGCAGTATCATGGTGAAAGGAAACAAGCTTTCTTTTGATTTGGATTTACAATCTATGTTCATGGAAGCAGGAGTCACGAAACCAAAAGATTTGTTGCATGGGAAAAAACCTACTGCAGAAGAGCTCTTTGAAATGTCCAAGAGCAAAGATGTTGCCATGAGCATTAGGATGTACCTGCCCCAAGCCATGCTGTTTTCAATGGCCTCCTATGCACGTGAGAGCCGGGCAGGGAGTACGGAGGCAGTGATGGACTCGCACGACGGGGTGGGGACCGCGGCGGCCGGAGGACGCACAGCCACAATGCTCCCGACTCAGAGGCCAGGACGGCAAGATTCCATCTCAGACTTCATACACGTCATCTGCAGACACCAGTCCCTGGAGAAGGCCTTCGTGCTTGGTAGCGGGTCAGCGAAAAGGAAGATGACGGTAAAAACATGGACGGCAACAGTGGCGGCAACAATGGACCCAAGCATCGCATCGACCACCAGGACAGCACAGGCTGGGGAGCGTTTCAGTCTGTCGTGCACGAGGAAGCTAGCTGAACCGCGCACAGCAGCCAATGCTTACGTGCGTCGTAGAAACGTCTGCACACGTATTTACATAGATGGAAAAGAAAGAAGACTGGGAAGTATCTCAAAACATCTGAGAATGATGCGGCCATGAAAGATTTTTATATCTCTATTTGCTTATCTGTTTCTTGTTTTTCTGCAATCAGTAATGCACGACTTATATAATAATAAAGATTAAGCAGACCAAAAAGAGGTACGTGTGGGCACACAGTCAGTACACCAGAGCCGGCTAATGAGCAGCCGTGGGACTAGGGTGGGGTCATGAGCCTCATTCTCTAAAAAATGGTCAGACCAGAGACCCACCAAAGTCCCTTTTGGGTTGCGCTATCATGGTCCAGGCCCAGGCAGGGAAGGCTGTCTGCAGACACAGCGACAGGGCAAGGAGCTGGGGCGTTCCAGAGAACCACCGGAGGGGGAGGGGAGGAAGTGGCTTTTAGTGATGCGATGAGGGCGGCTCCTCTCGTGTCACGATGCAGAAATGAGGGTGCCTTGCTGGGCCCTGAGGGAGGTTGCAGCACAGGCACGGAGCCCGATGGGTAGAGCAGACCAGCGGAGGGCACTGTGAGAGCCTGGCAGAGTCTGAACGAATGCGACAGGCCAGTGCAAGGCACGATCTCGGAGACGATGAAGAAGCATTCTTGGAGAAAATGTGGCATAGAACCAACGCCGACTGGGGGGCAGGGGGCGGGACCAGGGCTTCAATCCCTTCATCCCGAGGAGCTCCTGGGGGCCGCCCCGAGGGGGGCTGGCACAGGGGTGGACAGGCAGCCCAGACAGACATTTCAGCTTGACGCAGCCCAGGCCTGGCTGGGGGGGACCAGGGGGGAGGAGTGGCCCCATGGTTCTGAGCTCCCTTGACTCAAGGTGTGACGAAAGCGCATGACAGAAATGAAGAGCCGGGAGTGGAGGCCTCACTGGGGACAGAGAAGGGACAGGACATCAAGCAGACGGCCTCCACACGGCGGCTGCTGAAGCCAAGGGGAGAAATCAAGGCAGGAGAGGACGCTTTGGGGGTACGAGCAAGAGAACCTTCCAGAAAACAGAGGCAGCGCTAAGGCAGTAACAGAATCATGCAGATGCTATTACTGATATTTGGATGCTGTTAAAAAAAATGGCTACTGTCCGTCCCCCAGGGAGGGGGTTCTATGTAGATCCTTGTGATCGGTTTCCCGTTTCTTTCTTTTTTTCCCAAGAAGAACATTTAATATGTGATCATTAACTTCTAACAATTCTGGAATTTTCCATGCCATCAGTGGTTGTGGAGAAAATTCTGTTTCTCACTCTAAATCCAAGCTGTTACCAGCACCAAGATAGAAGTGTATGAAACATAAGGCTTGGAATCAGTTCCCCGTTTCTACCCCACCTTCCCTCCACCCTCCCGTACAGAAAAGTGGGTGAAGGGAGGCGTCGGACAGTGTAAGACATGACAAAATAATAATAATTTATAAATTATCAAGGGTTCAGGAGGGAGAGGGGAGTGGGGAGGGAGGGGAAAAATGAGGAGCTGATACCAAGGGCTCAAGTAGAAAGCAAATGTTTTGAGAATGATGATGGCAACAAATGTACAAATGTGCTTGACACAATGGATGGATGGATGGTGATAAGAGTTGTCCGAGCCCCCAATACAATGATGTTTAAAAAAAGAATGTTATTAAAAACAATAATAATAAAGGGTGTTATTTACTCGATCCCTTACCTTATTTATTTCTTGGGTGAGAGCCTGAACGGAGTATACATTCACACTTCCGTTTTCCATAATGGATGCAATGTACCGTCCATGCGGACTAATTACCGAGGAGGTAATTCCCTCGTCGAGGCTCCCAATTTCAAAGAGAAGTTTACAAGTCTGTATATTGATGAATCTCATAATTCCATCTTGACTCAGCACTCCAAGAACCTACAAGGAGAGAGAAACAATCTATGAGAATAAATACACAAGGCAGGTGTCTGCAGGCCAGACTACACACAAACACACACCCACCGGAAGGGCTTCAAAAAGCTCGTGGCCAATGGGATTGAGAGATGGGATTTTTGTCCCATAAACTTTTTGAAGCCCTCTTGGGCATGTGTTTTGTTATGTTTTTGAGGGAGGAAGTCAGCGGATCCCCACAGGATTTTAACTCCTTCTCTGTGGCTCTTGTGAGGAGCCCTGGTGGCATAGTGGTTTGTCACTGGGCTTCTAGCCACAAGGTCAGCAGTTTGAAGCCACCAGCTGCCCCATAGGAAAGGCGAGGCTTTCTACTCCCCTAAGGAGTTGAAGTCTCGGAAACCCACAGGGGCAGTTCTACCCTGTCCTATTGGGTGGGCATCGACTTGAGGGCAGGGGCTTATGGCTCCCACAGACCTGCCTTGCTCAGGCCCATCTTAAGTCTGGCTCTAAAACGACAAGGTGGTTCAAAACCACCCAGCAGGGCCGTGGGAGGAAGGCCTGGCCAGATGCTTTGTAAAGATGACAGCTGAGAAAACCCGAAGGGGCTGTTCTACTCTGCCACAGGGGGTCTCGGACAACTCAGGCGCGACGGGGCAGCGCCCATCAATAAGCTAGTGTCTGGAGAGGCGATCTGAAAACCTCCCCTGCCTGCCGGCCACATGGCCACTGACCTCCCCGAGGACAGGCACCCCTTACACCGGGGGTGGGGATGTGTGGCCCTCCACCACCCTCACGGCTTCATCAGCGCCAATCGCTGGCCGATGCCCACAGGAGCGCTAACCACTGGCCAGCTTCCCTCCTGGCCATGTGTGCTGCGACCAACATTTGGGGTCCCCGGGGGAAGCAGGTCTTTTAAGGGAAATGTTTGTTTTACTGAGTTTGAGCTCATCTCATTTGAAAACTTAAAAAGAGAATTTAAGCAAATAAAGCCCTTGGCCGTCTCCACACACAGGTTCCTTCTCCAGGGCTGGTGGCCGGGCAGCAGCACACAGGGTGGCTGAGACGCCGGCGGCCACTGGGGACCAGCTGAGAAGCCAGTTTCTGAAAGGCAAGGCTGTGGGTCTCACCGCGCTCCTCTGCAGCCGCCGCGACCCCCAAGGGGCGACTGGGCAGAACCCCTCAGGATCACAGGTGCACGTAAAGTGCTTATGCCACTGTCGCCAAGTCTGGAAACCGTGCCCACAGGCCAGACGTGGGAGTGAGCTGCGCAGAGCCCTTCTGTGCGGTGCTGTTTACTACGGAAAGGGCCTGAGGCAGTGACAGGGCAGCGAGGACAGGCTTTAAAAACAAGACAAACCACCGTGTAGCTCTTGAGAACCATACTTCTCGGCAGGGGTGGAAGATGCTGCAGGGGAAAATGAGGTGACCAACTGCAAGGGGCAAAGCTGTGTAAGTGTCCAGAGCAGCGGGGCTCAACCTGTGGGCCGAGACCCCTTTCTCAGGGGGCGCCCTCGTAACAGTAACAAAAGGACAGTGATGAAGTAGCGGTGAAAATCATTTTATGGTTGGGGGATCACCACCACATGAGGAACTGTATGAAAGGGTCGCGGCGTGAGGAAGGTTGGGAGCCACTGCTCTCTAGAGACAGTGGGCCTGGGGCGGGGGTGAGCACCCAGGCTAATGGGAGACAGGTGTTGACGTCACATCTGCTTTTTCATGTGTGTTCACGCTTTTACCCGTTACCTATTCAGAAAACGTAGTGGATGTACCACGCACATGCATGGCGACCCTGCTTTTAAGCTGCAGTGCTGTCCTTTGTAGGAGAGGGACACCTTCCAGGCCAATCTCTGAAACATCCCGGCAAGACTCCAGGGAAGAAACCACGCCAACACTCACAGCCATGTGGAGTCCAGCAGAACCGCCTCCGGGGTCTCCTGTGCAGGAGTGCAGCAGAAAGCCTCGGCTTTCTCCCAAGGAGTGGCTGGTGGTTTCGAACTACAGACCTTGCAGTTAGCAGCCCAATGCGTAACCACTCCACCACCAGCACCCTGCGAACCATGAATTCTGACATCAACTTAGGGTACACTGGTTTTATTAAAAGGATAAATTGTCATTCATAGGTATAATACAAGATTGGCATTTTTTCAATTCTAGACTATTCGCAAAAATAGAATATTGTAAGTAGTTTCAAATCCCTTTTTAAGAGTTGGGGTGTGAGGAAGAGGTAGGATATTGGATTTTCCTTATTGTATTACTGTGGTTTGGGTGAAAGTTTACAGAGCAAATTGGTTTTGCATTCAACAATTCACGTGTAGTTTGCTTTGTGACACTGATTACAAGCCCCATAACACTGTAGGCACTTTCCCTATTTCCTCCTGTGCTTATCACTTCACTTCATCCTTCTTTCTTGTCCCTTCCTGCCTTCTGAAAGCTCTCTCTCTCGGTGCCATTGAGACCATGCCCACTGATGGTGACCCCACAGGAAAGGGTAGGGCTGCTGCTGTGGGTTTCTGAGATGCTAACTCTACCGGAGTAGAAAACCACATCTTCCTCCCTCAGAGTGTCCAGTGCTTTCGAACTGCTGGCCTTATGGCTGGCAGCCTAGCGAGTAACCACCGCGCCACAGGGTTTCTGAACTCAGGCCCTGGGCAAAGGCTAACCTTCTGGTGTCGGGCAGTTGATCATCCCAGTGAGCACATAGCTCCCTGGTGTGCTTGTTCCTTGATAGGCGTATCGTTGGCTGGCAGCTGAGCCATTAGGGTGAGTTCAGTGCCAGGCTTGAGGGTATTGAAGGGCCATGCCCTTGTGGGGGGTCCCATCAGTCTCTAAGACACTGGTAAGCCTGGTCTTCTATGTCCTTTTGAGTTTTGTTCCATATTTTTCTCCCATTCTATCCAGGATCTTCTATTGTGATCCCTTTCAGAGCCGTGGCGGTGTGGCTGGGGCTCACACGTGTGGCTGGGGCTCACACGGCCTATGAATCCTTTATGTGAACGGTTTCCTTCGGTCTTTGCTGATGGCTGCTCCCGGTGAGAGGGATCGGCCACTGCTGCTTACAGCTTTTAAGACCCGTTGCTACTCTCCAGAGCAGGATTCAGAACCCTGTCATTGTGGTCTTCTATGTTGTGCCCACTGACATGAGACTCTGGCCCTGGGCGCCCAGGAGCTAGGCTGTGTTAGACACGGATGGCACCCTTCTCAAACAGCACAAGGCCCCGCTGATTTCTCACTAACCTGATTAGAACCAGCGTCGAAGTTATCAGGAAGAAATTCTAGGTGTCGAATGGCCCGGACTTTAGTCGGCATCTGGATGATTCGAAAGAGCTGCTTAGCTTCCAAGCACCACAGATGAAGATGATTCGATTTGCCCCCAGCGGCTAGGACTCGGCCGTCTCTGCGTAAGGAAACGGTCTGCAGGTCAGATCCGTTGAAGTGCTCGCAGCGGTGCATCCGACAGACCCCCTGGGATGGCGACAGTGCTCTCTAGCTACACATTCCTAGAGGGCCACCACGAGCCGTCTGTGTGACGGTTTGTACTTTCCTCCTACGGCACCAGGTTAACAACCACTTATGTTGGAGGATTTCATTGGCAGTTTCCTGAGTAGCATTTATGTTGCAAAGCAAAATCCCAGCTTTCCAGATTTTGCACACACTTCTACTGAATTGGTACTGGGTTGCTACATAAAAAACAAAACAGAAAGCCTCAGCACTTTTCCTCCAACTCGAGGAGAGCTCATGATGCTGGCAAGGTACGAACAGAGTGGCTGATGGAGGGCAATGAATATACAAATGCGCTCCACACAATTGATGCATGTATGGATTGTGATAGGAGTTGTATGAGCCCCTAATAAAGTGATTTAAAAAAAAAGAAATAAATAAAAGAGTGGCTGATGAATACAGGTGTACTGACTTGCACTGCGAGGCCATTGCTCCTTTATACAATCAGCCCCTTACAAATGTCTGCAATCCTCCAGGGGTCACTCCAGATGCTGGGGGAGGGACGCAGTCATGAGTGACAGGTAAGCTCCCTGCTCCTGTGGACTCTCATTCTACAGGAAAGCAAGCTCATGTGGGCTTGACTTCAGCTGGTTGTCAGTTCTATAGGGAACCAGAAAGTGAGGTGGTGGTGGACAGAGGACTTGCCGAGAGCCAGATGACCAATCACAAGGCAGTCATGGGAAGCCTGAGACAAGGTCCTGCTGGCCAGCATCCTGGCTGCCAGCACCAAAGGGTCAGGAAGGCCTCCTGGGATATGGGGATGCTTGGACTTTATTCTACGTGCAGTGGCAAGCCTTTGGAGGGTTTGAAGTAAGGGAGTGCCTTGCTCTTACTCAATGATTTAAAACAGCAGTTCTCAACCTGTGGGTTGCCCGATTCATCACAGTAGCAAAATTACAGTGATGCAGCAGCAATGAAAATAATTTTATGATTGGGGGGTCACCACAACACGAGGAACTGTATGAAAGGGTCGCGGCGTTAGGAAGGTTGAGAACCACTGATTTAAAAGACCGCTCTCTCTGTGGTGCAGAGACCGACTTTGGGAAATAAGACTGGAAACAGGGAAACCAACTACGAGGCTTTTTGGACTGGAATAAGAGTAATAACAGTGGATGAAGCACACACACTGGTCTCTGTATGTGTGTGTGTGTGTGTGTACTGTGAGTTTTTCACAAGAAAATCTAAGAGAAACAGGGTCTGCGGACCACATCCAATTTGAAGGAAGCCTCTTCTCACAACAAAGATGAGACGCTGAATGAAGATGTGTGAAATTTCTCCTGCAGTCCAAGTTCCTAAAAACGTTGTGTTAAAACGCACATTACCTGGTCACAGCAAACACTTTGTACAACAGGCTCGAGTTTTCCGGTGGGGCTGGCAATTGATATTTGCAAAAGAGCGTATCACATTCCCAGGCGAAGATGGAATTATCTTTGAAACAGCTAAGGATGGTATTACTTAATGGCAGAAAGAAAACCTAACGAGGGAAAAGAGAAAGTTACTGTTCACACGGGGAGCTGGTGGTCACTGTGTGCCCGTGGGTCCACGGCCTCCAAGTGGCCCTGCAGGACAGAGACCCGCCCAGGCTTCCCCAGGCTGCCAGCCACCCGGAGGCAACGGACAGGCCTCTCTCCCGAACAGCGGCTGGGGTTAGATTTTAAATGACACCAAGTAAGCGACCTTTCTCTTTCAAAATGACACTCCTTAGACTGGAGAAGAGAAAAAGTTGGCTTGCAATAAATACTGATTTTTTTCCGAAAATGAAAGAGATGGGAAATCATTTAAAATGAAAAAGAAGTGATGACAATACCAAACACGGCAATTCATAAACTGCCTCTGTGTCACCTTCGTGTGTCTCCCGTGTAAAAACCTCATGGGTCACGTGCTCAGCCCATAGCACTCAGCCACCAGGACTCCTGTTCTGTGCACAGCAGACCCACAGAGAGAATGCACACCGAGCCGACGGGTTAAACACAGCGCTCCACTCTGGATCAAGGCAGAGAAACTGCTCAGTCACAGCAGCCCAACTGCACCTCTGTCCTTGGTTCACTTTGCCAAAGACAGTCTCTGGAGAGCAGATTTCTAACACCAAGGTCTCAGAGAGAGACTTCCCAAGGAATAGGCTCGAGTTTTCTGGTGGGGCTGGCAACTGACAGTTTACATTATCATGTATACGTTATCTTGTACGATGTACGCATCGCTGCATTGCTTCAAACCCGAGGACAAAAAAAAGCGACTTAAGAACATTTTTATTGCAATCAGTCGTTCTTTTCCCAGAAAAGTAATAAAGCTTATTCCCGAGGGAACGAAGCAACAAGCTTAGAAGCTAATGAGCCCCAAGTGCTATTTTAGGGGAAGAACTGTGATAGATTATTGCCAACATGATTATTCATTACTAGATTTGTGATTTTAATTACTGGATTTTAATGATTATAAAATTGTTCCTAATGAATCATATCATTATTATTTAGATAGTGTCAAATCCTGACAAATGGAATGAGTTTAGGAAAAACTTCAGAAGTGTAATGTGCTTTTTCAGGGGCTGGGGGGTCAGGGGGAGGGCCCCTGGTACGGCAGGGGTTAAAGTGCTCAGCAGCAAAGGGAAAGGTTGGCAGTTTGAACCCACCAGCCACTCAGCAGGAAAAAGATGGACAATTTGGCTTCCATCCAATGTACAGCCTAGGAAATTCTATGGGGTATAGTTCTAGTCTATCCTGCAGGATCACTACAAGTCACTGTGAGTCAGGTTTGGGTTCTTTTGGTAGGGGTCTATAGTTTTTCCTTACAGAATATCAATCAGGCTTTCCAGTTCAGCTGATTTATACATGAGCTCTTCTCGACATTTGAAGTTAAGAATACTATTACCCTGGTCAAGGCCAAATGTACAACTTGGTAACAATTGAGTATACAGAGGCCATGTGAATTGGTTCAGTAATGAATGCCTCCCTTCTTGCTTGCTGAAAGTGAGGAGGACTTGAAGCACTTGCTGATGAAGACCAAGGATTACAGCCCTCAATATGTATTCCCACCCAATGTAAGGAAGACCAAAATCCTCAGAACTGGACCAATAGGGGACATCATGATCAATGGAGAAAAAAGGTTGACGTTGTCAAGGATTTTGTTTTCTTGGCTCCAAGTCAATGCTCAGGGAAGGCGCAGTCAAGAGATCTAAAGACACAGTGCATTAGGTAAACCTGTTACACAGGACCTCCTTGGAGCCCGGGGAAGCCAGGATGTTATTTGAGGACTAAGGTGTGCCAGACCCAGCCGTGGCAGTTGAGGTGCCCTCCAATGCATGTGAAAGTCGGGACACTGGGTACAGAAGATGGAACAAGAACTGGTGCACTGAACTGTGGTGCTGGAGAAGAATATTTAGAGCTCCACGGACTACTAAAGGGACACACGGATCTGTCTTGGGAGAAGTATAGCCAGAGTGATGGCACGACTTCATCTCATGGCCTCTGGACACGGTGTCAGGAGAGGGCAGTCCCCAGAGACGGCGCCATGCTTGGGTACAGTACAGGGGCAGATGGACTGGCTCAGTGGCTGCAACCTCGGGCTCAAGCACAGCAACACGTGTGGGGTTGGCGTGGGCCTGGGCAGGGATTTGTCCTGTTGAACACGGAGTGGCGGTGGGTCGGGATGGACTCGAGGGCACCTAACAGCAACGATGCCTCTTTATTGCACATCTTCTTTTATTACAAGGCCTTTTCAATACTCACTCAACACGGCAATTAAGAATAGCAGATTTAGGCGTTCCAAATTTGCTTACGAAAAAGCTGAATCTCCTCTCTCCAAAAGCCAACAAGAGCACTGGGATTTACTAATGCTAAGAGGTGCGACCGGCATGCCTGCTGATCCCAGCACGGGACCGCGGAACGGCTTTTGAGTAAGACAGGCTTGGATGAAATTTTATAAGCTATGCGGCACTGGAAAGTTAGGTACTGATTTTGAACTTCACTTGAGAAATGCGGGTAATAGTGTCTGCCATTTAGAATTACATACATGTAAAAGTAATTCCACAAAGGACTAGGTAATTAATACATATTACTATTAGTACTACTTAATTCTATTGCTCTGTACAAAAATTAGTGGGGAGAGGTGGGGGTGGTCAGTTCTTTAAAAGCCTATGAACTCCAATGCCCCCCAGCTCCGTATCTGAAACCCTCTGGACCAGATGCCCTTGGGGATTCTGAATTGCAGTATCAGAAAGGTTCTAGAGGGCGTCCCATGTAATACTGTAATACTATGGAGAACCACTAGGGGGCCAAGGAGGGGCAACACACCATTCTAAAACAGGTTCCTATTTCAGCCTCATGTCCCTGGTCAGGCTTTGCTGCCAACGAATTGAAGTCAGATCAGATTTTACCACCAAGTGTTATTATAAATAAATAAATCAAGGGTTTTGGAGGTGTTTTATTTTTTAATTCTTGAATTGCCAATTAGGAACTGTATATCTAAATAATATAGTTCAAATGAAAAGGGGTACATGCTTTACACAAAAGCTTTTTAAGATCATGTTTACCTGCACCGAGATAGCTCTGTCATGGTGTAGACCACAATAAGGACAACTGAAATGGCAGCAGCTGCAGGCACTGTTACTAAGCATCTTCCATACAACCCCATGAAACGACGAGCTTTGTGGAGATTAATCCCTGGACTGGCAAACCGCAAAGTTGGAGGTTCAAACCCACCAGACGCTCTTTGGGAGACTTGGAAACTAACAGGGCAGTTCTACCCTGTCCTACAGGGTCACTATCAGTCAGTATAGACTCAATGGCAGTGAGTTTGGGTTTTTGGGTTTTTTTTTGGTGATGTTCAGTATGTATCTAAAAATGCCTTGTGACGAATACTAGATTCTGACTCACAGTGACGCTACAGGACAGAGAATAACTGTCTCAGCTGTCATCTTTCTGGGACCGGATCAGCAAGCCTTTTTTCCAGGAGAGCCACTGGGTGAATTTGAACAGCTGGTCTTGGGGTTGGTTAGCAGCCAAGTGCTTAACCTTTGTGCCAGCAGGGCCCCCTTTTAACTTAAGGCTCTCACACCCAGATTACTGCCATGAACTTGTTCTGCTCAAGACTGCGCAGAAGGCCAGTCTTTCTCCTGAGGAGCTGCTGGTGGTTTTGAACTGGCGGCCACGCAGATCACAGCCCCACGCTTCACCATGACACTACCAGGGCTCCTTACTTGAAGACTCGGATTCCATATACCTGCATTTGCTAATTTCATTCTGTTCTCATGGTTCTAACATCTGGAGCCCTCATTTCTACGTTGAACTGTCTCGAGGGCCGATCCGGGGTAGAACTGGCCCTGGCCCGGCGTGCACTGGTTTTAGTTTCAGAGTAAAAAGAGCAGCTGGCTTTTGCGTCACTGTTTCGTGACAGTTCCCATGTGGTGTCAACTCCCAAGGTTCCTTCTTTTGGAATTTAAAATCCCGTTTAAGCAGCGAGGCAATTAAAGAAGGGAAGACCTAGTAAGACATTTGGCCGCAATCCCTAATGGACATGCTGGCGACAACAGTGATCTCTTCCCAATGACTCAAGGTAGACGACCAACGGCACTGTGGCTGGCATGTACTGCCACCGACTCCTGCCAACAACCAAGACATCAACAGCCATGCTGCATACGGAATATGACCAGAGCAAACTACACAATCAATCACCTGGGAAATGCAAAGACACCCCTCAGAGTGGCTCTGGCCAAGTAGATAGAAAAATACACTAGATCTTAAAAACAAAAGAAGTAGCTTTTAAAAAATGGTGGTACAGTATATGAAGGGGCCTCAGAAAGTTCGTGGATAAATTCCATTACCTTTTAATTCCACCTTTTTTTTTTTTAGACAAAAAGATAATTTATTCAAGGCACAAAACTAAGTCAGATTCAAGAAACTCGTTTCCAGTAAACTGTTGCTGGGAGCTAGAGTCTACTAAACTTTTGGCTCACACCATATTTCTTTTCTGTGGCTTTCCCCAGGATTCACCCACATTAGTCAATAAGCCGTTGTCATTTTTCCTGTTATTGATAAAGAATAATAAAAGGTACATCATTCTATCTTACTTTATGGGTAAAATGTGAGGGGGAGAGACAAGGAAGAGAAAATAACTTATTTTCTGTAGATAACAAAAGGCACAGTGATTAATAAAGGTGCATTTCAATAAGATCCAAAGAAGTCACTAAATTTCTTATTAAACACCAAATCATATAGTCAACAAACTGCATTCTGATTCATTACATTAAAATAGCAGTTTGTTTTCTTTTCCTAATTCCACCTTTCCGTGAACTTTTTTACCGCCCTCTCATACTAGGGACAACTACTAATCATCATTAAAAAAAGAATAGACTACTGATCCAACCGGCCGGGGAGATCTCGAAGGTATTCTGCTGAGTGAAGAAGTCTGTGTATCAGGTATACGACAGTGGGTTTCCCAGGGTCTGCACGAGGAGGACTTAACATAGAGACCTTGCTGAAGGAA